ATGACAGCAGCCAATAGCCATCAACGTAAACAGCCACTTACTGTAAGTCTCTGCTCTCTCTGAGGCCGATTAAAAAAGACAGACCAATTACGGGGATGCAAAGGGCAATCCTTTTTCTGTCTGAATATGCTTGCCTTTGCTAACAATGAAAACACATTATCTCAATTAGCCAGTCGTTTGACTGTTCAAATCCAGATTTCACATCCTGCTGGAGGGCGTCTTCTGTCTTTTTATGTGATTAGCAAACACCAATGGCTGGGGATGGCTAATTGCTGCAAAAGAAAACTATTATGACAAGAGAGAGCAAAACCCATGAAGGAAATTTGGCGCAGAAATAAAGACATAGAGAGAGAGAGAGAGAGAGAGTGAATGAGAGAGAGAGAGAGGAAAGAAAGTGAAAGAAATAGATTACATATCTATCCCCTCACTATCTCAGAGGCATTGCGAGACAATCTGCTTCAACAGCTCAGATGAACTCCTAATTAAACAGCCTCAGACGTTCTTCGGTTTCCCACACTTTCTAAGGAAGGTGTTGCTTCTATGTTCTTCCCCGCATTGTGCCAAACTAACACTTACTAGTCTCCTGTCAGTAATGTTGAGACTTCCATCTGTCTCCATACTTACATAGTGTAGTGTGAAACCAAGAACACACAACACAGCCTTTACTGAAGCTTCCGTCAATTAATAAAGCACACAGCTGATGTGCCACATGTTTTTAGGTTTTAAGGAACAAAGAACTGAAGTTTGGGTTTTTTTGTGAAGTGAGATGCTGAAATTCAAGCACTACTTTTTTAAAATAGCTTAGTTAGGATGGTGAAAAACATCACTTTTTGTTAGTGAACTGGTCCTTTTTCACTAAATTGATTTTTTAAAAGGTTGGTTGCAATGATGGGCGGCACAGTGGTGCAGTGACTAGCACTGTTGCCTCACAGCAAGAAGGTTGCGGGTTCAAACCCTGGTTGCCCCGGCCTTTCTGTGTGGAGTTTGCATGTTCTCTCCGGGTGCTCCGGCTTCCTCCCACCATCCCAAAGACATGCAGACTAGGTTAATTGGTGACACTTGTCCTTAGGTGTGAGCGTGAGTAGTTGTTTGTCTATGTGTGGCCCTGCAATGGACTGGCAACCTGACCAGGGTGTACCCCATCTTTTGCCAGATGTCAGCTGGGATTGGCTCCAGGATGATGGATGGATGGTTGTGATGATATTGTTATTGTTTATATACCTACAAAGTTGAAATGGTGAAAGAAGTAGGGTTAGCTCCAAATAGGCCTATAAGCTCTATACTTTGAGTGAAGTATATCTAACATAATGCCTTTCTGTAACAAGAGATGGAAAGCAAAGTGTGTCCAAGCATACCAAGCAAGCATGGTCTGTCCTCAGGGCCAAAATCCTGTCTGAAATTAAACTGATGCATAGGTGATCCCCCCTGTGCAGGACTTGATTGTGTGGGCAACCATAGAGCCATCAAGTTGCAACCTGTCACAGTGCTCGAAATGTATTGATCAGCAGAGAGAGCTATGGGCAGAGGTCAGGAAAAAGTGGGCTCTGCGCATGGATTGACAGCCTTGCACAGATACCCTGCAGGAACGCAAAGACAGGAAACGCGAGAACAAGAGAAACAAAGGGGGCAGGGCATCTCTGAAGAGCCCCTTCCCTCTCAGAGCTGAGGTAGTCCTCCAGGAGACCTTGGAGGACTGTGTAAAACAGATTTTCTTCCAGACATGCACTGTGTTTCAACACACAAATGTGCTGGATTTAACTGAATTAAATGGAAGCGTGTGCATGGTGTTGCATGGCAGAAGAAACTGTGACATGAAAGGAAAATGTATCTGTGGCTTGTTGTGTGTTGCTGCTTTCCTTTCTTCTGTAAATCACCATCATTAGATTACAAATCCTAAATGCTTTAGAGTTTGGCTTTCTAAATAGAAGGACATGTGGGGAAAAAAGGCTCTTCATGACTCAACAGTAAATAAGTGAGTTATCATCTGGTATTGACCAGCCAAAGAGTGCAGCTGAAATAACATATCTTTGATAGTTACATTCCACTCATTTCATCTGGTTTGGTCAGGAATAAAAGTTGTTTTGTGTCTCACTTCTAAATGTTTAATGCTCTGATGTTAATATTTCATACCCAGATCTGAAGTTTGATCCTCTTGTCATTCTTGTACACAGTCTTCACTTTGAAGTCGATGCCTACTGTGCTGACGAAGGCCGAAGTGAAGGCGTCATCAGCATAGCGGAACAGGAAAGACGTTTTGCCCACGCTGCTGTTGCCAATGATCAGCAGCTTGAACATGTAGTCAAAGTTTTGGTCCCCTCCCTCTCCCTTCCCTTTCACATCCTGAGTGGCAGCCATCTGCAAAAAAAGAGAAAGAGACGCTGAAAAGATGGCATTAAGAGCTTCACCTTGAGCTACTGTGACGCTTTCACGTAGCTTTGACGCACAGAAGATGTGAAGATGTGATTTGGTGGGTGATTTTTTCACTTGAATCTTGACTATTTTACAAAACAACTTCTGGTTCATGTGTGCACAGCCCGGGAAGTAAAAAGAGAGAGAAAGAGCTAGATGTTAGCACAGTTCAGTATAAGCTTGTTGTACAGGCCACAGATCAGCAGTGACAGAAGGCCGTGTCAGGCAAACCAGCATGACCAACACAGCAAGCTGTTGTATTGATGAGTATTAGATAACCAGGATTTTAAAGAGCTGAGTTTGTCTTCTCTAAAGCCACTTTTCTTCCAAAATGATTATCTTTAATGAAACTAAAGGATTATTATTACTGATGTTATTACCGTTATTACTTAAAGAGCAATGTTTAGCTCATGAATACTATTCAGATTCAGTACTTTTGTTTAGGTACTGGGCAAAATACTGTTTTTAATTTTCAAAGTGGACTTCCTTTGTATTAGAACAAAATATGTCAAACTCAACTCTGTTGTTTCAATTGTGGTGGTGTCCGTGGTACACCAAATTTACATCCAATTTAAATGTTACTATTAACAATTCAAAGTGTGTGATGGGTTCCCACTACAAAGACAATCACATTTCACCAGACATTCAGTCTTCTTCCTAACTAAAACTGCTACCCTTTGTAGGCTATAAGATGAATCTTTCACCTTAACAACGCACCTACACTGACTTCCGTGGAAGCTGTCAGCAGTCAACGACCTAAAAGGACACAACTGCTACCAGCAAGATGACAAGAGCACCGTCATCTCTGCTCCAAGGTGAATGTTTAACAAAGCCACTATATAGCCAAACACGGACAGCCAAGCGCTCCTTGCAGCCTATCCAATTATTAAAAAAAGATGCCGGATCTCGATCATGCACACCCTGCACCGGGTTTCTGTTCGCTTCCGTGAATGAAAAAAAAATAAAAAATCACCACTGAGGCAGGATTTGCAAGGACACCGCTTTCACAACATCAGTGCAATGCTGGCATTTACTCACACCACGATAAAACCAGTCGATCTAATGTGAAATTACGCGATGCAGTTGAGCAGGGAGCTGCATGCCAGCTAATGTTAGACACGCAATTCTGGGCAGGAGGTCATTTTTATCTATTAATCCTGTTCTCCCATATAACTATTAATAGATGAAAGCACCAAAACGCGTTTAGGACATTGTGCGAACAAACCTGTTTTGAAGGCCTCGGCTCTATCTGTATCTGCCCCTGTTTTGCAGAATACGGTGTTTTATATTTGTGTCTAATGCAGGCGTTGATTTTCTTCCCCCCTTTCTGTGTCTCTCTTTTCTCTTTGGAGCGCCGACCAATTTCAGCACCTGGGAGCTGTCCCCTCCGCTTCGGATGTGGCACGCGCCCCTGCGATGACGAGGCTGGCTCGCGTGAGATGAGCGCGAGCAGAGGAAAGTGCGTTTCGTGCGCGTCTCTGACGTCACCGGCGGCGCGGAGGGGCTGGGGGGGGGGGCTGTCAAGAAGATGGGGGGTTGTAGTCTTTGCGCGGTATCGGAACAGCCTCGGAAAGACGGCATCAAACTGTTGAGATTCACTACATTACTCAGCATGCAGCGCGTCCCACCTGCCTACAGCTGTATGATTTACTGTGCAAGTGAAAAACGTTATAGTTTTTTTTATAAGCAGCAGACGTGTCACTCCCCATCATGCAAGAGCAATACTACAAGAATAAAACTGCAAACCTTTGTCCAACCTCTCATTGCTCTGTAGGATATAGCCTACATTATGGCTTTATGACGGTTTAACGTGCCCCCTTTCTATGGTAAAGTCTTGCATCTTACCTTCCCATACAGGTCCATGTCAGCCTCAGTAATAAGTGTCTGTTAGTAGCCAGCCTATAATAAACTCCCAGCTGGGCAGCATAATCTTCTTTTTTTTCAGGAAGCAAATATAATGGCCTCTCCTTTTGCGTCACTCTCGCTCGGTCTTGCTGGTCGTCCCCCGCCCATGCAGCCAGCTCCGCTTCAGAGAAAAAGCGACTGAGCAAATAAGAGAGGCCTGAGTGGTGATGAATATTATTATTTTGGGGCCTTTCATTGGGAGCAAGTGCAGGATGAGGCCGCGGCGGAAGTGGGGGAAAAAGGCCATCTTTGCAATTGTAATCACACGGACGCTCTCTTAGGCGGATTATAAAACAATATATTAATTTGAGAGGTGCAAATGAGAAACGCTTGTCATAGGGAAGTGAGGATCAGTACGCTCATGTCTGCACTTATTCTGAGCAGTTTCTTGTGAGTACATGCCTCTTAATAACTGGCCTTAAATCTCCTATTACTCATCCAAGCCCACACCTGAAACCGACATTGCTTATAATATTCCTGCATGCGCTGAGAACCACCACAGTCTGGCACAAGAGGCATTATATAAGCGTGAACATCAGCCAGTGAGCAGACATTTGATAGGCGTGTTTGCAGCTATAGGGCGGGGTATGGTGCTGACTGACTGCCCTTTGACTGGAGGATCTGTGTGTGCAGTCTGCCGAGCGCGCAGCAGACGAAGGGGCGGGTCAGGTAGGCTGCGAAAACATGTCTGTCTCTACAGATTATATTTTGTGCTAGAATTTAACAACCGTACCAAAGCCGCACGCTGTAGTGTGTATCATATGCATATGTAGGTTAACTACCCATTAGTTCGTTAACTTTTAAATCTCTTTGCACCGATTTGGTCCTGAATCAGAACTCCAAAATTGTCTTTGATCGTGTTTGAATGCTGCTTTGGGGTCATTTTTGGTGGTGGCGCTCCTCTTGTCAAGGCCTCGTGAAAAATCTTTTGGTCGGTTGATGAGCAGAGCTGGTGTTCAGATACAGTTTCATTAAGCATAAACGAAGTAAACAAAACTTTTCTAGAGGTTTCTGCATGGGAAAAGGCCACTGTGGCACCATCTGCTGTTGGAAAAGGTGCGCTGGGGATATTTCTTCTTGGCAGTTCTCACAGGTTGCCTTATAATGATTACCAAAGAAATATTGGCAAAAATCCAACAGCTGTAGCTACATAAGCCTACTGATAGGTGATACTGAAGTGAGCTATATCTGTTTACAAAAGGATAACTTTGGGGTATTTTTATCCTGAGTAACCATACCCCATGTCAATGACACACTTTTTCCTAAATGAAATTCAACAATTTGAGATATGTAGATAACAAAAGTGACCTTAAAGAATACACCAATAATACATTTTTCATAAAAGCATCAGACATTAGGAAAGATATTCTTCAAACCTAGATGGTGACTTGTTTCTTTACAGAACATTACAGTCTATCTCCTGCATCCTGAGAACATTTCAGAGCCTGACCATAAAATGTCCTGGTGTTTTATAATTACCAATATTGGTTTTGACATATATGTAGGCCAGTAAGTAACACAAAATTGTAGAACTAAAACAAAGGTTTGAGGTCATGTAGACACACTGTTTTCATTACATAGTTTCATTACAGAGAAGTGACACAGTTGAAGTTTATTTATCCACTGTAAAAAGTGGAGCCTGAGCCAGAGTCAGTTACCACTTCATTTCGCTTCAGTCAATCAACCTGACTTGTTGGAGGCGGGGGTACTTTATATTGTTTACCCCTAACCATTCATTTCTTCTGATCAAATACATCAAATATAAATTATCCTTATCAAGATGTTTACGTCATACATTTCTGTAAAAAATCATCTGTACAAGCATATGTTGGGCTAGAGAATATTAGAGAGTTCTTCAGAGAAACGTCCTTCCAGAACATTTACATTTTTTTACATGCTGCAGTAATATCTCCCCTCATTATTTTCAGCCAAATTGGACAGTTTTCAATGGAGGACTCCATTGAGGTGATTCTGCAAGACCATGGAAGATTCCTTTCTACCAAAAGACCCCATCCCGTTGTGTCGGCCGGCCTAGGCGCTCTGCTCACAGGCTTGTATGGAGTATGGAGCGTGTTTACTATGCCTGGCTTTCGCAAAATCCCATGGAACCTCAAGGTGCTTGAGATTTCCTTTTTCTGTTTTTAGATGCCTGCTTTCTTCTCTCCAACCTTCTCAAATATCAAATGCTGCATGTTTGTGTGAAATCAAAGAAAAAAAGCCAAGATAGAACATTACTTGCGCATTAACAATAATTTGCTTATTTTGGAGCAAAGTGCTCTGTGCTTGCAACAAATGTGCGAAAAGAAGACAGTGGTGAGTATGTAACCGTGAAATGCTTTATGGAGTGCTGCATCATTTTCTGCGGTATGTTTTGTGCAGAGATCCACTTTTCTAACATAATGGATCATGCACTATTTTTCCTTCACCGTCAGTACAAGATGAACAAGAAAACATGATGATCAGGAGCAGATTATCAGAAGTTAGGTAATGATGAAGACATTTGTTTGTTGCATAGAGAATCTGAATTTGTTTTGATAATTTGAAGCAAAAAGAAGCAGTTTTAACAGTAATACTTAGATGAATATGATCAAAATGTAATTGATTTTGCGGTAATGATTAATATATCTCTGACCTGTGTTTTTTCTGATTAAGGACACGATATTTTGTTTATCCTGCCAGCTATATCTCACACAAAACATGTTATGCTAGGAGAAAAGTGGAACTTTACATAATCACACAGATTAAACACAGTTTACCTCAAAGCCCTGCTGAATGCATCATTCAGACAGATATTGTGGAACAGTTCCACTGCCAGTGAGTGGGAGATCAGATTCAAGGTTATAGCACTCAAATTTACTTCAGTCAGGTTTTCTATTATGAAGCACATGTGGAGTTGTTTTCCCATGAAAAAGAAAGTCATGTTGCTGTAGTGTTTGGTTGGAGTGTCATAAATATTAGACGTTAAGATTTTAATTACTTTCACATTTTATTTTAGGTTGTAATTCTCCCATTCAGCATCACATCATAAAGATCTGCCTACAGTATTGGGCACTGTGAAAGACAGATTAAAGAGACTTCACCTTTTTATCTTCAATATCTAGTTCACTAACTTGACTTCAAAGTAGTGTACTGTACTACATGCCACATGTATTGACTAAGTTTGTACTGTGGTACAGGTTCCTTATTTGCCCTCCAGCAAAGATCAGACGCTGAACGTCATGAAGCAGCTTGAGGGACGAACTGGTCGCTTGGCAGATCTGGGATCAGGAGATGGGAGATTGGTTAGTGAGCTGCTGCAGTTGTTTTAGAAAAAAAACAAAAAACACATTCATTATTGGTCCAACAACTATGGTGCAAATCTGACTCAGTGTTTTCATGATTTGAATTCCTGCTGGGGTTTAAATCTGAGTGTGCTATGTACACGTGGGTGTTCTGTTGTTCCTTTAGAAGGGAACTGTAGTTGTATTTTATACAATCAGATTTGATTTTTCCAGGTGTTTGCGGCCTCTGCTGCTGGTCTTCAGTGCACAGGGTTTGAGATAAACTCTATTTTGGTGGCCTATGCCAGGAGCAAGGCCCGCTGGAAAGGAGTGCCCTCCAGCCAGGCAACCTTTGTAAAAAAAGACTTCTGGAAGGTAAGACCTACAAGTGCTTTCCCTAACACCATTCAAAGTTGTTATATGACCGTGTGTGTGTGTCTTTCTTTTTTCATAGACTGATTATCTGCATACAATAATGTGACAGCTTTCCTTGCTCCGGGAGTGGTGAGTTTTTCCTCCTGTGAAGAATTCTTTCTTTCCAGTTCTGTAGCTCTTTTAATGCTGTTTAAATCACACTTGTAAGAAAAAGTATGTGAACCTTTTGGACTTTTATGGTTTTCTGCATAAATTTGTCATAAAATATGATCTGATCTTCATCTAAGTCAAGGGTACTGACAAATACAATGTGTCTAAAATAATTACACAAAATAAATTCTGATCCCTCATGTCATGAACATACTCGTTCAACATTTAAAATTGCAGTGGAAAAAGTAAGTGAACCCTTACAATTAATAACCCCCCCGCCGCCGCCGCCGCCCTGGCAGCAATAACCTCAACCAGGCGCTTCCTGTAACTGTGTATCAGACCTGCACATCATTCAGGACACAACTGCTACCAGCAAGATGGCAATTTTAGCCCATTCTTTCTGGCAGAACTGCTTTAGCTCTGTCATATTCTTTGGACGTCTCACGTGTATGGCTCTCTTCAAGTGATTCCATAGCATCTCTCTTGGGTTGAGGTCTGTGCTCTGACTTGGCCACTCCAAAAGGTGGATTTTGTTCTTCTGAAGCCATTCTGTTGTGGACTTGCTCCAGTGTTTTGTTTTGTTGTCCTGTTGCATCACCCAACTTCTACATAATTTCAGCTGACGTACAGACATTGTCACATTATCCTGAAGAATTCTCATATACTTGGGAATTCATCTTCCCCTCAGTGATTGCAAGCTGGCCAGGCCCTGATGCAGCAAAGCAGGCCCAAATCATGAGGTTTCCTCCACCATACTTTATGGCTGGGACAATGTTTTCATTCCCTTTGTAGGCCAGATGGGGCGCTGTGTGGTTCGTCCAAATAGTTCAATCTTAGTTTCATCTGTCCACAAAACAACGTGTCAGTGTGCTCTTTTGCAAACGTCAGGCGTGCAGCAATGTTCTTTTTAGTAAGCAGTGGCTTCCTTTGTGGTGTCCCGCCGTAGAAACCCTGCTTGTTTTACGTATTGTAGACTCAGGAACAGAGATGTAAGCCAGTTCCAGTGATACCTTCAAATCTTTGGCTGTTATTCAGGGTTGTTTCTTTACCTCATAGATGAGTCTTCATTGTGCTCTTGGTGTCATTTTGACTGGGCGCCCACTTCTTGGTAGAGTAGCAACAGTCCCAAAGTGTCTCCATTTGTAGAATGTTGTCCTCACTGTAGACTGGTGAATTTCTAAAGTCTTTGAAATCACTTTGTAACCTTTGCCAGCTTCATGTAAATGAACAATTCTTGATTGTAGATCCTCTGAAAGCTCTTTTTTTGCGAGGCATGAAGCGTGTGCTTCTTGCGCAGTGCAGACTCCAAAATTTCGAGGGTTTTTTATAAGTCAAAGAAGCTATTGCCCACACCTCCAAACTCATTTTCTTAACGAGACTTAACGAGACCAGGTGTGCTAAAAGCTGACTCCAATTAGCTTTTTTGAGGTCATTAACTCAAGGATTCACATAATTTTTCCACAAGCACTATGAGGATTTTTTGGGTTGTTCTCAATAAAGACATACCCTTGACTCAGATGAAGATCAGATCACATTTTCTGACAAATTAGCATTAGCATACAGATAGCTAAGTGACTAATTCATCCTTTTCTGATTGATTTACAGATGGATTTGCTGGGTGAGAAGCTGTTGAAGGAGCTTCCCGATGACGCGCGTGTCATCGCTTGCCGTTTTTCTTTCCCCAACTGGCCCCAACATTCGTCTGTCGGCTCCGGTCTCGACCAGACTTTTGCCTATGACATCAGCAGCGTGCGCTCACGCCTGGGAAATGTACCGTACTCAGTGATGCAATAAGTCTGAGTCTCTGGGTTATTTTTGTTTGTTTTCCAGCACTGTCATTCTCAACAGCACTAAACCCTCTAGACACTTCCGTTTTCAGAGACCAGAAATTAATAAAACTGTGTTTTGTATTTAAAGGGATACCAGACCAATGAAAACAGATTTTTTAGCAGGTAATTATAAAAATGTTTGGGGAAATAAATTGGTGATATATCTGTCATTTATTTATTTATTTAGCAGTGATGCTTTTGAAAAATGTATTTGAACATTGCAAGGATGAGCGGGACTGTGACTAAGCATGATGTCAGGATGATTTTGACATCACTTAGCCCCTACAGTATTTGTTCAGTCTTTTCATTGCCAGAACAGACGGAGCATTCTTGGTGCAAATACCATTGTGCATCTAGAAAATGTCTGCGGCTGTAGGGCTCTTTCTAAAAGCTCTTCCACTACAAATAATTTGACTTCAGTGTCGACACACCGCCTTAGTAGCATGGTACAGGAGGGATTGCGTGTTTGTGTGTTATTCATTAGTTTTGTTCCACTTTGCTTTTGTGGTGTTGTATTTCCTAAACAAAATTTCCTAAACATTTCCTAAACATTTACATTTGTTAGATAACTACTTTATGAAGTCCTAATTGTGCAGCCTTGGTGAAGGAATTTGCTCTCTGTATAGTCTTGGGCATATCACTGAAACTTGTCATACCGTTGTACCTGCAGTGAAATGTAGCATGCTAATGTAATTTTTTATGAGTCAATGCAATATACCTGCCTCTGCGAAATAGAACACAAATCTTCCAATGTACTGCCACCTCTACAACCTTTCCACTCATATCGCTGCTCATACTCCACTGATCAGTCTGATAAAGTCTCACTTTTCAGTTTCCAACTGCAATACAATATATGCCTAGTCTTTGGTAAACAAAGGCAGATTGTAACCTGCAGTGTCCCCTCAATGTTATCCAATATCTCCACCTGAGGGTGCTAGTGCTCCAAACTGAGTCTGGCGCAAATACACCGGATGAGCTGAGCCTGAATAGAATACAGATCAGGTTTATCCTCTGCATAGTGGATATTTTATCGACCAAATGCATCAGGCTTCCAACACCTTGAATTATATTTTGCACCAAAATGTTAAAGCTCCATTCACCTGCCCAGATCCCATGCAGCAAGTGGGTACTGTACAGAACATGCCCGTTTGTATTATTGTTGTGGATGGCGGTTGGTGGTGCAAATCGTATGAATCCTTTTAGGAAATGTTTGATAACAGAATCTACACGTTGTTTTGTCCCTTTTGATTTCATGTCTGTGCCATCATCAACGTCACCTTGCAGGTTACATGCGAGGTAATCCATATCAGACAGACCTCATGCTCTCGTTTCACATCGTGACGTCAGGGAGAGGGCGGGGTGGGTAAGGGTGCCAGAGTATAAAGGCTCAGAGACAGACTCTCCGGATAGCATTCTGAGTGCGGACGAGAAATCACCTCTAATGGAAGTACAGACAAGTACCGGGCCACAACAGACAAACAGCAGCAGCATGTGTGAGTCCACGCAGAGGTCCTGCGAACCTCGCCGAAAGCGAGTGGATGAGCGCAGTGCGCCCTCGGAGATGGCCAGGATTATCACTGATCCTGCCACGGGGAAGTGCTACTGCCGTGGAAAAGTTTTGGGAAAGGTAGCGCAAGCGTAGCAAACGTTGTCAACTTTTTGGATTTACCACGTAACCCGAAGACACAGCATGTTAACAGTGTTTTTCCCCCTTTTTCCAGGGAGGGTTTGCTAAATGCTATGAGATGACCGACCTCTCCACCAGCAAAGTTTATGCAGCCAAAATCATCCCACATGCGCGCGTCTCCAAACCCCACCAACGGGAGAAGGTAAGCGCGCAGCTCCGGTGCCTGTGCGCACTCGTATGACTGGACAACAGATATCACAACATTTGCCTTCAGTTACAATCGTTACAGTTGTCTCTTTCCCTGCTAGATCGACAGAGAAATCGAGCTGCATAGAATACTGCACCATAAGCACATTGTGCACTTTTATCACCATTTTGAAGACAAGGAGAACATCTACATCCTGTTGGAATACTGCAGTAGAAAAGTAAGTGCCATTTGTCACATACTCAAGTCTCCAACCACTGTACTTTATCCTTGCTACTGCTGTGTAACACCTGCATTGCACCTAAAGTCAATGAGGCAGCACATATGCAGTAATAAGTCTGCCCTCAGTATAAAATTATTGTTTAAATCTATTGTGTGATACAGAATCTATATAACTACCTACAGTTTTATGAGATTACGAAAAAAATCATCAAGCAAGAGGAAAATGTTTGTTTCTATGGAATGGTTAGACTTAGACAGCAAACAGCTTTATAATCATTCTCATCCATGTTTTGTCTTTATGCAGTCTTTAGCCCATATCCTGAAGGCTCGCAAAGTGCTTAGTGAGCCAGAGGTGCGTTATTATCTAAGACAGATTGTCTCTGGACTGAGGTACCTGCATGAACAAGAGATCCTTCACAGAGACCTGAAACTTGGTAAGGAATCATTATGCAGCATTGTCACACTACAGTGCTGAGACACTTTGTGCTCAATTGTAAAAATGTGTTGTGTTTTTGTTGTTGTGGGGGCTTTTTTTGTTGTTTTTTTAATACCAACCCCACTTTTCCTTGTTTTTTCTTTTACCAATTCATCCAGAAGGTCCCCGTAGTATTTAGCCTTTGATCCTGGGTTGAATATCAAGTGCTCATCATCTCACTCCCTTTCTTCCCTACAGGTAACTTCTTTGTGAGTGAGTCGATGGAGCTGAAGGTCGGGGACTTTGGTCTGGCTGCCAAGTTGGAGCCAGCGGGAAACAGGAGGAAGACTATCTGCGGCACTCCCAACTACCTGTCCCCTGAAGTGCTCAACAAGCAGGGCCATGGCTGTGAATCAGACATCTGGGCCTTGGGCTGTGTAATGTGAGTAGGCAAACTGTAAATCCACCATCAGGCACTCAAAAGGTTAAGTTATAATAGAAATTATTTTTGGTTATTATTGAATAACAATCAAATAACAGATAATCAGCTTAAAAAGACATCCTATTTCATGGACTAGTGCACTCCTGCTTTGCCTGCAGTTAGTTATTTTTAGTGATGGAAATCAGCTCACTTTTGCTCTCTATCCTGCTCCAGGTACACCATGCTGTTGGGCAGGCCACCATTTGAAACCACCAACCTGAAGGAGACATACAGGTGTATTAGAGAGGCACGGTACTCCCTGCCCTCCTCCTTGTCGCCACAGGCTAAGCAGTTAATAGCCAGCTTGCTAGCCAAGATCCCTGAAGACAGACCTAACCTGGACCACATTTTGAGGCACGACTTCTTCACACAGGTTAGACACCCTTTTTGCATCCCTCTGTCTGTTCCACTCCCTGTCTGTCTAAATGTCACTCTGTAGGAGGACAGTGACCTCCTTCCCACCAGCCGCACACTGACCCACTTTCGTTCTCTACAGGGCTTCAGTCCAGAGCGTCTGCCGGCTAGCTGTTGCCATTCAGCACCAGATTTTCACGTCTCTAGTCCCGCCAAGAGCTTCTTCAAGAAAGCTGCCGCTGCGCTCTTTGGTGGGAAGAGAGACAAGGTCAAATACTACGAGACTCTGAGTGAGTATGACATTAATTCACTGAGTGCTGATGTACCACTTTAAAATGCCACGTATCAACCCAAGCTAATTATCTTTCCCTCCGTTGAAATTATGGCTGCTACAAGAGGCATCACTAAATAGAGTTTTTTAAGACGATTGCCAGCACAAGTCACATTTGGTCCCATCCCGCTCTGATGTCCGTTTATGTAGCTGCTTGTTTGAAAGGCCTTGCTCTGATTTTTCTGTGGTCATTGCCTTCGATAGATAAATTAACCAAAGAGGAAGAGGAGATCTACAAACTGCAGCACGACTTGGAGAGGACTGTCATCAGCCAACAACAGAGCAAAAGGATTTCTGAGGTAAGAGGTCATTCATTCAGAACAAAACAGGATATTTACAACAGTGTGCGTGATGTTGCAGGCACATTATTCATGCAGCCATTAAATAAATGGGTAGACTCGAGATCATGTTGAGGAGAATCCAATGACTCACTCTGATGCTGTACTAAACTTTATAACAAGCGCAGTTTCAGAGCAAACTAAAAGTACTTATTTTCAACCTTTAAGCCAACCACTTTGAATCAGTGGGTGCCCACTGAGTCATAGCAGGAAGATGATCTAAACTTGCAGATTCTAACTCCTGTCGTCACTGATTCCCACCTCAGAATGGAAGTCTACTTCCGCCATCTGCCGAGAGCCCCGTTGCCCCGGCAACAGAGATCCAGTCCCCGACGACACGAGATACCATCCGTCTGATCGTCAGGGGGAGCCTGGGGAGCTGCAGCAGCAGCAGCGAATGTAAGATTTGCCCACCTCGTTTCACACATGATCACAGAGACATGAATTGATGTTAATACTGTTTAAACATCTTAAAGTAAATTGCACAGGAAAACTGAATAAGTGCATTGAGGATAGAGATTTGACATAACAGCTGGAGTGCGAAGTCATTTCTTCTACTGTACCGATATGACATCAAGCTAAATGTGACCCCCTGTTGTTGCTTTTAAAGGCCTAGAAGACAGCACGACAGGGAGCGTGGCAGAGACTGTTGCAAGTGTGTTGAGGGGATGTCTGGAGAATATGCCTAAAGGTGAGTCGACTTGTTGAAATGATTTACAATGCCATGCCTCGTACATATAGTTATTGATTAGAAGACTCCACATTGAGAGCTGTCATGATACAGCTAAATCTCATTCTCTGTATTTGACCTTGAAATTTCTGAAAGAGCCATGCTGATCAAGGGACTCAGAAAGTATATGTAGATTCATGTTCCATATTATTTTTTCAAAAGATACACTCCCTGATTCCCTCCCAGCTCATTGTTGATTAACACCAACACGGTTTATAGTTAAGTTTAGTTTAGCTCTTGGGTTGAGTTTGCACAGGATGTCGTTTCTTTAAACCTTGTCATTCTATTCTAACCCTCCTGTTTCCTCACCTTGCAGCTGACGACATTCCTCAGGGCTCAAACAGCTGCAGTCTTCAATGGGTGACTAAATGGGTGGACTACTCCAACAAGTACGGCTTTGGCTATCAGTTGTCTGATCACACTGTGGGAGTTCTCTTCAACAACGGCACTCACATGAGTCTCCTGCCAGACA